GAGATGCCCCGCGGCGCCCAGTTTCTTGCGCGCCCGCTCACTTCTTGACGTTCGCAGTAAAGAATCGCAAAGGAAGCTGCGCTTTAGCCGGTCAAGGAAAAGCAGCGCGGGCGACGGGGATCAAGGAAGGGGAGGGGGGAGGGGGGCAGGGGGGGGGGGCGATGCGCGCGCGAAGCATTTCTCTGCCGTCGCTTGCGAATCATTTCGCTCTTGAGAGGGTCTGCGTCCGCGGACAGTTGGCCCGTGCAGTCCATGCCTGTCTGAGTCTCTGCCCTCCCCCTCTCCCTGGCGCTCCCCCGCTCGCTGTTCGGCTTCTCGTGTTCTCTTTTGTGTGTGTGTGTGTTTTTTTGGGGGGGGGGGTTATCCGCCTTTGCGGTGCCTCGCTGGTTTTGCTGGCCACTTGGGCTTCTGGGCGCGCCGCAGTTAGCGTCGCTTCGTCCGCCAGACCTTCTTTGCGGCGGGTTGTTCTGAGCTGCGTCGTAGGCGCGCGCGTCGTTGCCCCTGTGCGCGCCGTGCTGCGGCCGCGCGGTGGCGCGTTGCAGCGCGTCTCTGCCCTCTGCCTCTTCGCGCCATTCCTATCTGCCCCGTCCGAGCCCCGCTTGCTGTCGGCGGATGGGCGCGGGGCGGCGCCGCGTCTTTTATTTTTATTTTTTTGTTGGGGGGTATTTGTTTCTTCTTGCTCTTCCTTTTCCATTTTCGCCCCCCGCCCTCCCTCCCTCCTCGCTGACCCTGCGTTGCCATTCGGCGCCGGCGGACGCGCGAATTGCCCCTGCTCGGGCGCCCAGGTTGCGAGGAATTCGCAGGCGACAGCGCCGAGACTTTTGGCTGCGTGGTCGGGTTGGTTGGTCGCCTTGGTCCGCGCGCCCGTCGTTGTCGAGCAACCTGATGAAATTGTCAGGCGCGCGCCCCCCCCTGCAGACCTCGCGCCCGCCTTGCGGGGGCATTTCAAATGATGCCGTTGTTTCGTGGTCGTTTTTTTTTTTTTTTTTTTTTTTTTTGTTGTTGTTGTTGTTGTTGTTGTTGTTGTTGTTGTTGTTTTTTTCTTCTTTTTTTTTTTTGGGGGGGGGGGGGGCGGCGCGGCTGTCGCTCGACTGCGCGGCGAACGGGCGCGCGGCGCGGTGTTCACTGGGCCCGAGTGTTTACCGGTCTTGCGGCGCCCGCGCAGGGCCTGCCTGGCGGCGGCCGAGATCAACTGCCGCGCGGGTCGCGCACTTCTCGTGGCTGGGGCAGCGCGAGCGGCCGTGCGGTTCGTGTCGCCAGCAGCCCGCGCGTTTCGCGCTGCCCGTGCGTCTCGCCCACCCCGCTGCATAGGGCGCCCGCGCGTTTCGCGCGGCCCGCGCGGCCTCGCCGGCCCAGCGCGGCCCCCCGCCCCCTAGCCCCGCGCGGCCCGCGCGGAGCACGTGGCGTTTGCGTTTCGCGCAGCTCCTGCGGCCCACGCGGGCAGGCGCCGCCCCCGCGACGGGGCCCCGAGCTCTTGCGAGAGGGGCGTCACCTGCGCGCGGGCAATGATATTGATGTGCGCGGTCTGTCCCCGCTCCGATTGGCTTTCTCGTCTTCCGCTCTGGAGTTTTCTTGCTCGTTGCTCGGGCCCTCCCTGTCCCCGTGTTCTGCGTTGTTCCCCCGCTTCCTCGCCGCCGCGCCTCGCCTGCGGCGGGCTGGCCCGTGCCGCGCCCCAGGTGCGCCGGGCGCCTGTCCACCTCGCGAATCGCTGCAGTCGCGCGGCGGCGCGTTGCCCCCCCTCCTGCGAGCAATTTTTTCTTGCCTCGCCCCCCCGCCCCGCTTCGCTATCTGTTTGCGGGCGGGCTTTGGGCGGCGCTCCGCCCTTCCGTCTCCGCCCGTTCGGCCCAGGCCCCAGCGGCCAATTGGGGGCGGGGCGGCGTTGCGCGACGCCTCTGTCTTGCGGGGGCGCAATCTCAGCCCCTCATTTTCCGGGTTTTCCCCGCCCCCGCCCCCCCCTTTATCGCCCCCGCCGCCGCGCGCGCCGTCCCCCTTGTCATGGCGCCCGCGACGCGGGGGGGTCTCAATCGCCCAGTGCCATGACGTTTGGCTGTTTGGTTGGGTCTGTTGTTTGGGCTTTTGGCTGCGCGGCGGGTTTGTTGATTGATGTGGTTTCGCTCGCCCCCCCAGTCTGTTTGGGCCTCCTGGCGCCCTCTTGGGGCGGAAGGCTCGGATTTTCGGTCCGTGGTCCCCCTTTTGGCCCCCTCTTGGGCCTGTCTTCGGGCTCTCGTGGGCCGTCTTGAGCGTCTCTTCATCGTGTTGTTAGGGTTAGGGGTTCTTTTGTTCTCGATGGTCCCTAATTCACTTCCTCGCGGAGAAAATGGATCGCATCTCCGCCCTGCGCCTCCTCGCTAACCTCCGTGTCCCTTCCTTCGCGGTCGGCGTGTGCCCGTCCAACCATCAAAAGGCCCTGGACCGCAACGAGTCATCCTGAACACTGAGAGGACGCGGCGGCGAATACCGCGGCGCCTCCATCAGCCCTGGCAGCTTCCGTCGTGGTCGCGCCCGCTCCGCTCGGCGTAATTTGCCATGTTCAGCCATGCGGGATGCGCGCCTCTTTTCCCCGCGGCGTGACTCGGGCGGCCAATTATGTGTTTGGCGCATCCGCATCCCGCCCCCTCGCCCCTCGACGTCATCGCGCAATGTCATGCGAGTGGCAGGTCCGCCGACGCCCTAGCGCGCTAGACCCACTCGCAAGTCAACCTGCTGACACTTAACCCCAGTCACGTCAGACTAGACTCGCACGCGCAATTCTCGCACATAGCCACGCGGGCTCACTCGCCCCCACAATCAACCATGTTTCTAGACAAATCGTACCTCGATGCGCTCATGCGAGGCATTAGGCTCACCGAGGTGTAGCAGGCGTAGCTGTGCGGTACCCCAAATAGGTGCCGCATTGGAATGGGCGCTGCGTGGAACGCGCCAGCATGATTTGACAGACGCGCGGATGCGTGGCATTTGGGCGCCCCGAGGAACAACCGCCACGGGTTCGGACGCGTGTCCGTCCGCGATCCCATTGCGAGGACGTTCCAGGCAGTTCGTTTGCATGTTTGGCAAATGTTTGATCCTATTTTTAAAGACGCATTATCAGCTCGGCATTGCAAGGGCGCCGCCTGGACACCCTAGCAAGGAACCGCTGGGGAGTAACGCGCCTGCCCGTTCGCGCCCAGATTGTGGCGGGTGGCGGTCTGGCCGTTGTGCGGGACAGACTCAGGAGGAGGAGGAGGAGGAGGAGGAGGAGGAGGAGGAGGAGGAGGAGGAGGAGGAGGAGGAGGAGGAGGGAGGAGGAGGAGGAGGAGGAGGAGGAGGAGGAGGAGGAGGAGGAGGAGGAGAGGAGGAGGAGGAGGAGGAGAAGGAGGAGGAGGAGGACGCGACAGCCAACCCGTCCGCCCGCGACGGAGATTCAGGCCGCGGGCGGCAGGAATCGCGCGGGCGCCGCGGCCGCCGCGGCAGGGCCGAAGCTGCCGAACACATGCGTGGTCACGAATCAGGTTCGGCAAGGGGGACCAAGAGGGCACGCGCGCATCATTCAGGCGATGCCCCTGCTGACCAGACGTCATGTCCTTGTAATAAGGACAGAACGGGGCAGGGCTGATGGGTGTGGCCGTGGTGGCAGGGATGCACAAGGCAAGCTGGGCGATTGGCGGACCGACGATCGGAGCCACAATCGGCGCGCTGATCGTGACGACAAAACGTGGACTTCAGGGAGCAGCTGATGGAGTGGGACTTTTTGGCATGCGAGTTCGAGCGGAGCCGGAGATGACAGCTCGCGGCCTGCGGTTTCGGGTCGAGGCTGGGAAAGAAACTCGCGGTGAACGAGGTCGAAGCGCGACCCTGGGGGGCTGGAGGCGCCCGCCGGCAGTGCCCACTGGAGCTACAGTTGCGTCCACGTCGTGCGACTGAACCTTCGATCCCGCAGCAAAAACAGGTTCTACTCCGACGGGTGGGGCTGCAATGGCTTTCTTTGGGGTTTGCGCCCGCGGACGAGCTGCAGTCAAGGCTTGCATTCGTGGCGACGCTGCTCCAGGCCCGCCGCTGGGGGGCCGTTGCATTCAATCCTTCCGTCTCTTGGTAGGTCTTATGTGCGCATGCCGTTGTTCGCGCGTGGCACAAAACAGCCGTGAGGATATCACGCAACTTGCGCTTCATGGATGCGCGCGCCTTTTTCTTATCCATTCGCGAATGACTGCTGACTTTTTGGCGAAATGCGTTTCTGTTGTGTGCCCGACACGTTGTCATAACATTTTGTCTGATACAATGCGGTTGAACTGCATTTGCGATATGTTCTAAGAACACGTTTTGTAATTATGTAATACCAGAGAATGTCGCGATATGCCCACAGGACTGCAGGGACGGCCGCGCCCTGCTGTAGGTCGGTGAGGTTGCCAGTCGTGGATCTGCAACGTGGTATTTTGCCGAGGCGTTGTTTTTGTTGTTTTCTTGCTTTCCCCCCCCCCTTCCCCCCGGGGCGTCATTTTATTTCGAGTGTTTTGTTTAGGGCCCTGGGCCGCGGCGAGGGCTCCTGGAAGCTGACAGCGGCCCAAACCGCCCCGCTGTGATTTCTGTCAACACGCGCGAGCATGTCTGTGGTTGAACCCCCCCTTTTCCTGGCCTTTTCCTCCTGCTCCTCCTTTTCCTCCTCCTCCTCCTCTGTCCAGTCGCCACGGCTGGCCCCTTTCCAGCCTGCCTCTCCTTCGGCCCTCCCCGCAAAAGGGGTTCAGGATGTTGCTGCCGAGGAGGACGCTGCTTTCTGCGGGCGGGTGCTTGATCCTTGGCATCGCTCGGACGTGTGCATTTTCCTTTCGGCGAGGACCATCGAGGAGCATCCTTGATCATTTGGCGAAAAAGCCACGCACGAAATCGACAAAAAACACAGGGAATGGACGTCCGAGCGATGGCCAGTGATCCACAACATCATGGAGCACAATCGCGGCATGGCACATCGCAGTTTGGCCTGTGTGGCTTTTTTTGGGCGCTGTGCTGCTCACTGGCCCCCCCTGCAGGACTTCGCCTCCCTGGCGGGGCCCGGCGGTTCCTCCCGGGGCGCGGGCGCCTCTGCCGAGTGGGCCCCGCCGTCCGCGGGCAGTGCCGGCAGCGGCACGGGCGCCCGTGCCAGGAGCCCGGCGCCGCGGGCGCCCGCCGCGGCGCCCGGCGGCGGCGGCCGCGGCGTGGCGGAGGCGGCGGTCGAGGAACGCAGATCGGGTGGCCCTGGGGTTAAGTCGGGCCTGTCCCTCTACAAGAGGAATATCCAAAAATAGTCAAAGAGTAGTCCAGGGATAATTTTTTCAAGGGAATTTTAGATTTTTTAGGTGTATTTTCATTATTCGTCGAAAATTCCCCTGTAGGGGGACACGCCCGACTTAAGAGCAGGGCCAAAAACCAGCCGCTCCAAGCTTTCCGGAGCACGGCCCATCACCGGCCGAGCGCGGCAAGAAGCCGTTTTCGGATTTCTAGGCATCGCTCGGACGTGTGCATGTTTTCTTCGGCGAGGACCATCGAGGAACATCCTCGATCATTTGGCGAAAGAACCACGCACGAAACCGAAACAAACACGGAATGGACGTCCGAGCGATGGCGAGCTGGGCACGACTTCGGACGTCTTCGGGCGGGGCTATAGGGCGAGGAAATGTCCGTTCCATAGCCTTCCCGCGACGCTCCGAGAAGGCCGCGGCGCCCGAAACATCCTCCAGAACCGACGGATCTCAGAGATTCTCGATGTTCGGCAGCGAGCGAGGGGAGGAAGTGAGAAGGAGGATGCCTTCTCAGAAGGCGGCGTGGCTTCTCAGAAGGCCACTGGCCTTCTGAGCGACGTTGCGTGCCTTCGGGGAAGGCTGAGCACACCTCTCAGAAGGCCGGGGGACTCCTTGAGCCAATTTGAGGCACCCGAGACGGCCCGCCCCTCCTCGCTTGCCCCCCGGCCTCGTCGCCGAGCGACGCTGTCTTCGCCCTGGCCTCGTCGGATGCCTGGGCATCGCCGAGCGCATTCCACTGCTCGCAGAGCGCCTACTCGCAGACGTCAGAAAGCCATGCACGTCTGCCTCCGATGCAATTTATCATAAATCCCCCCCGGTGGATCCAGGCCATTTGCGAGCAGTGACTCTGCGAGTCGTGGAACGCCCTCGTCGATCCTCGCGCTGCCTGGGCAGGCCGGCGCCCGCCCGGCGGCGCGCCCCGCCGCCGCAGCCGCCGGCGCGGCGCCGCCGCCCGCCGGTGACGAGGAGCTGACGCAGCTCTACGCCGCAGCGGCGTGGGCGCGGCCGGGCCCGTGCCGCGGGGGGGGGTCGCAGCGCGGCGGCGAGGGCGGCGAGGCCCCGAGGGCCGAGGAGGGAGAGGTGCCCAGAGCGTCAGGAGGGGGGAAAAGACACACAGACACAATGAACCGTCGATTCCCCCAGAAATGTGGAAAAATTTGGGAAGTTGGGGGGGAAGACAAACACCCAGAATCTATGGGAAAACATGGGAACTCCTGTTATTTGTGTCTATGTATGTATGTATATATATATATATATATATGTGTGTGTGTGTGTGTCCCAGGGCCCCTTCATAGCGCTGTGGAAGTCGATTAATGGAGAGGAAGCATGCTGCCAAATAAATTCCAGATGTCTAAGACATGGTTCATACATGTCTTATATACAAAACATGTTTGAAACATGTTTAGAACATGTTTTGCACATTCTAAACACACTTTTAATTCAACGAAGCGATTGTTAGAGGTAGGTGCCCATACTGCTACCCTTCTCTCAAGCAGTGGCGAAGCGTCCTGGCTCCCTTATAGGCCTACCAAACTATGTTCTAAGAACCTTCTGTGGTCTCCACGAAATGTTCTTAGAACATTTCGTGGAGTCTGTCTTGTTTCATCACATCGGGATCATGTTCTAAGAACATGTTTTTCTTAGAACATTTTTTTGGTCTAAGAACATCCCGTGGTAGGACTATAAGAACATTGCTTTTGGGGTCTAAGAACATTTTTTGGGGGGAGGCCCTGGCCCTCGTCGCCTCCGCTGGATGCACCTCGAAATTCTGGTCAGAACGCACCCTGGGAGAGGTCTGGGGAGCAGCTGCATCGGTACCTCTTGGTATCCTCACGAGGAGGAGGAAGTAGGAGGAGGAAGGAGGAGGAGGAGGAGGCGGAGAGCCTTCGGGGGCAACGATAGGGGGGGATAGGCATACGGGGGGATTTATCGCCCTCGAATGGTTGGTACAACGACGATGCATTGTTGATACCATAGCGACATAACGATGTGCCGACGATGTATAGACGACACATGGGGCGGTCTTCATCGACGAGGTATCGACGATGCATGGGCGACGTATCGGAAGTTCGAGGTCCGTGCATCGCCTCCTGTGCCCATGCCCTGCTGTCGTTGCCCCTCGAGTCTACGGTCGAGGATCAAACATAAACTTTCGGAGCCTCGCGCGTACTTTCTGGATCGGCTCTGTGCCCCCCCTGGCGGCGCGTCTGGCGCCGTCCCTGGCGCGCTCCGCGCCGGCGAGGGGGTCCAGCGCCGATCCAGGAAATCCGCGCGCAGCTCCAACAGTTAATGTTTTTGTGTTGTTCTTTTGTGCACATCGACCTTCCATGTGGCGTCGGAGTAGATGGGGTCGGAGGATGACGCGGCATCGCCGATGCATCGGCGATGCGGCTCGATGTGGGGCCAGAATTTCTCCACGCAGATGGCGACGATGTATCGCCGATGTGTGTTTTTCGAGGTATCGGCGATGCGTCGCAGATACAGTGCTGAGATATCGGCGATGCGGCGCGAGCCTCCGACCCCATCCCGTCGGGCCCCGTGTGGGAGACCTCCAGGGAAGTTTCAGATCGCCACGCGGTGTGCCACGCTGGCGGCCCGCGTAAGCCGCGGCGTGAGGTTCCTGTCTCTTCTCGCGCGGAGCGTCGCTCCGTTGGATGTACCTCGACATTGTTCGTACCTGGCGTTTTGCCCTCTTTCGCAAGCAGCGGCAAAGCGCACTGAATTGCCTGCATGACCCACCGAGCGATGTTCCAAGTACCTTCCGTGGTGGGCGCGAACTGTTCTGGGAACATGTATGGCTGAGACCGTTTGGGTTTAATTAATCGGTTTCATGTTTCAAGAATGTCTTAGAACCTGCGCTCATTCTGAGGACACGTCGTGTTAGGCCTAAAGGAGTGCTGGGACGGTCGGTCCCTGCTCAACCGATACCCCTGAGACCCGGGCGTTGCATTCTTGTTCATTCTTGGCGGTTTCGCCATGTCTCGGGCCTTGAGCCCTCATGGATCGATTCGGCTTGAAAAACCTGGCCACCTGGAGTCTTGACGAAATCGAGACGGAGGCGTTTCATCGTTACTTGCTTGTAGGGTATAGGGGCCCCTGGCATAGGGATTCAACCCGCGACGCTGAATCTCAAGGGCCGCTGCCCTCGCCTCGCTTTCGTCCTTTTCGGGCCTCCTGGAAGGCCCTCGCCGCCACGGTTTGATTCGCCTCGAGATTTTGGTCAGAACGCGACCCGCGACCCCAGGAGTCTCCCAGACCACCCGCGATCGAAAAGCCATCCGCCACGACCGAACATCGAGAGAACCACCGCGACCGAAAGAGCGTTCGCGATTTGTCACGATTGGTCCTAGCGACCGAACTTTGGGCTCCTTCGCGACCGTTGGCGACAGAACACGGAGACCCGTCGCGACAGTGCAGGCGTCGGTCTCTCTTAGTCCCCGCCGAGGCGACGCAGCCGTGCGCTGGCCTTCCCGGGAGGCCGCGGCCCGCCCTGAGGTCGCCGTCGGAGGAAAACAGCCTGAAGTATGTCCCCAGCCCGAAGCACCCTTCTTCCACACCCTCCAACCACAGGGGGGGCAGGATTTGTCCGCCTGTGGCGTTGCAGGTAGCTGTCGGCGAGTGGCTTCAGGCTCGTGCGTCAACTGAAGAGCTCTAATCGGTAACCCTGTGGTCCGGACCTCCCGCCTGCAGCCTTTGACTGGTAACCTTTTGGTGCACGCCTCCCACCTGAAGGCTTCGAGTGGTAACTCTTTGGTCCAGACCGTCCGCCCGAAGGCTCTGGAAAAAAGAAAAGAAACGGAGTCGTGTGCGCCGACATTGGCGCGTAAGCTGCCCGCGTAAGGTCGCGCGTAAGCGCCCTCGTGGCCAGTGTGGCGTGCCGCGCTGGCGGCCCGCGTAAGCCGTCGCGTTAAGCCGCTGTGTCATCTCGCGTGAGACCCGTCGTCGCTCATGTGGCTGATTTCATGGTTTTCTCGAGGTACAATTGCGCCATACTTCGCAACACTGGGCCCCCTGGCGGCGCCTCCAGCGTCGCCCATGGCGCGCTCCGCGCGCCAGGGAGGGTGTCCCAGAGCAGATCCACGAAGTCCGCGCGCAGCTCCTACCGTTTATGTCATGTCTTTCTGCGCCCCTCGAGAAGAGCGCTAAATTAGCCGCCTGCTGTTCGGCATGTGTGGGAGGTGGAGAGTCAGGGCGATTGGCATCACAATGCCTGAATATCTCGGCGCCGATCTTGAGGATGCCCTCAGTTTGTGACGGCATCGCCGTTTGGCCCTGTCAATCGTCGGGGCATGGACAACGCAGCCCTCCGGTTAGGACAAGGGACGCTCTGAGCTCCCTGGGCCCTTCACGTGCCCCAGGACCCCGCGAAAGAACGACTCGGGATGACAAAATCCTCGGGACCCGCTGCCCTACAGTGCCGTTTTTTGATACATGCTCCGCGTGCGGATCATGTATTACACATGCAGGGTTTTAGGATTAAAGCAACGATGAGTTCATGCATAATTTTATTCCTAAATTAGTCATGTACTAAGAATCCCATATTTTTTGTTCAACAAATCCTATGTATTGAAAGCTGCCCTGAACTGCCAATCACTCGGAATCGCCCAGACTGACTTCAGCTGCGTGTCGGTCGGCCCCCCCCATGGGCGACGCGCGCGCTCAGATAGCTTGTGGCCTCACGGCAGGTGCTCGGTGACTGGCGCTTTCGGCCCCACCTCCCTAGTCTCGTGGAGGACGATCAACGGAGAGGAAGCATGTTGCCAAATAATTTCTAGATGTCTCAAACCTGTGTAAAAGATGTTTCAAACATGTTTAAAGCACGTTTAAGACTTCAATGATAGGACTGTTAGGCTTGGCATCGCTCGGACGTGTGCATT